AGAGGATTCTGAGGGACAGGATTTATATGCATTTGTAAAGGCAAGGACTGATTAGGGATAATCAACATGGCTTTATGCATGGGAAATCACATCTCACTAACTTGATTAAGTTTTTACAAGAAGTGATAAAGAAGATTGATGAAGACAGAGTGGTGGATATTATCTATATGGACTTCAGTAAGGCGTTCGACAAGGTTCCACGTGGTATACTGGTTAGCAATGTTAGATCACATGGAATCCAGGGAGAGCTAGCCAATTGGATACAAAATTGGCTTGAAGATAGGGGGCAGAGGGTGGTGCTAGAGCATTGCTTTTCAGATTGGAGGCTTGTGACCAGCGATGTGCTGCAAGGATCAGTGCTGGGTCCACAGCTTTTTGTCATTTATAGAGATGATTTAGATGTGAATATAGGAGGACTGGTTAGTAAGTTTGCAGCTAATACCAAAATTGGTGGTGTAGTGGACAGTGAAGAAGGTTATTTCAGAGTACAATGGGATCTTGATCAGATGAGGGATGGACTAAGGAGTGGCAGATAGAGTTTAATTTAGATAAATGTGAGGCGTTGCATTTTGGTAAGGCAAATCAAGGCAGGACTTATACAGTTAATGATAAGGTTCTGGGAAGTGTTGCTGAACAAAGCAATCTTGGGGTGCAGGATTATAGTCCCTTGAAGACGGAGTCACAGGTAGGCAGGGGAGTGAAGAAGGCATTTGGTTTGCTTGCCTTTATTGGTCAGTGCATTGTATGTAAGAATTGGAATATCATTTTGCGCCTGTACAGGACATTGATTAGACCACTTTTGGAATACTGTGTTCTATTATGGTCTCCCTGCAAAAGGAAAAATGTTATTAAATTTGAAAGGGTGCATAGAGAATTTACAAGGATGTTGCCAAGGTTGGAGGGTTTGAGTTTTAGGGAGAGCCTGAATAGGCTGTTGCTATTTTCCCTGGAGTGTCAGATGTTTAGGGGTGACCTCGTAGAGGTTCATAAAATCATAAGGGGCATAGATAGGGTGAATAGCCAAGGTCTTTTTCCAGGGTAGGGGTGTCCAAAACTAGACAGCACAGGTTTAAGTTGAGAGGGAAAAGATTTAAAAGGGACCTAAGGGGCAACTTTTTCACACAGAGGGTGATGCATGTACAGAAATGAGCTGCCTGAGGAAGTGGTGGTGACTGGTACAATAATAACATTTAAAAGTCATCTGGATGGGTACATGGATAGGAAGGGTTTAGAGGGATATGAGCCAAATGCTGGCAAATGAGACTAGACTAATTTAGGATATCTTGTTGGCACAGATGAGTTCGACCAAAGGGTCTATTTCCGTGCTGTACCAGTCAATGACTCTGTGACTGGAGAATTGCAAACATGAAGCAACTGCAGACTAATCATTTTAACTTCAACGGTTGAGAAACTCCTAGAACCAATAATTCAGGACAAAATTAATAGTCACATTGACAAATGCAGAATATTCAAGGTCAGTCAGCATGGATTTCCTAATGGAAACGCACATTGAACTAATTGACTGTAATTTTTTGTGAGGTAATAGAGAGGACTGGTGAGGGCAATGCTATGGATAAGTTGAAGAACTTCCAGAAGGTCTTTGATAAAGTGCGTCAGAACACATATTAGCAATGTTAGAACTCACAGAATAAAAGGGACCATAGCAATATGGATTTAAAATTGGCTGAGTGACAGGACACAGAGAATAATGGTTAATCAATGTTTCTTTGGCAGTTAAGGTTAGTAGTGGCACTCTCTGGGGTCAGTGCTGGAACCCTTATTTTTCTTGATAGATACTAACAGTCTGGACCTTGGTGTATAGAGCACGATTTCAAAATTTGCAGATGACATGTGAATTAGAAGCATTGTAATTTGTGAGGAGAATAGTACAGAACTTCAAAATGACTTTTTAACTTGGCACTGTGGGTCAATATAGCAAATGGAACTTATGCAGAGAAGATTAAGATAACACATTTTGGTAGGAAGAATCCAGAGAAACGATACAAAATAAGGGTGCAACTCAAAAGGGGGTGCAGGAGAAGAGGGACCTGGGTGTAAATGTGTATAAGTAACTAAAAGTAATTAAAAGGATAAATTCAGCTCTAACTCCATTTGCAAATTTGCTGATGACACCACTATAGTAGGTCGGATCTCAGGCAACGATGAGACAAAGTACAGGAAAGAGAGAGACAACTTAGTGGCATGGTATAAAGACAGCAATCTTTGCCTCAATGTCAGCAAAATGAAGGAGCTGGTCGTTGACTTCAGGAAGTAGAATGGAAGACTTGCCCCCATCTATATCGATAATGTTGAGGTGGAGGTGGTTGAGAGCTTCAAGTTCCTAGGAGTAAATATCACCAATGACCTATCCTTGTAGATCCATGTCGATGTTACAGTCAAGGAAGCACACCAGTGCCTCTACTTCCCCAAAAGGCAAAGGAAATTCAGCATGTCCACAATGATTCTTGCCAATTTTTATTGATGCATCATAGAAAACCTCCTATTTGGATGCATCACAGCTTGGTGAGGCAATTGCTCTGCCCAAGCATGCGGGAAATTACAGAGAGCTGTGAATACAGCCCAGTCCATCATGAAAAACAGCCTTCCATCCATTGACTCCATCTACACTTCCTGCTGCCTCAGGACAGCAGGCAACATAATCAAAGATCCCTCCCACCCTGGTTATATCTCTTCCACCCTCTTCCATCGGGCAGAGGATACAAAAGTTTGAACACGTATCAATAGATTTAAGAACAGCTTCTTCTCTGTTGTTATCAATTATGAATGGACCTCTCATAGATCTTTCTCTGCACCTTTTCTGTAGCTGTAACACTGTATTTTGCATTTTATTCTATTACCATATGTACTTACAATTTGTCTGCTTAACACGCAAAAATTACTTTTCACTGTCCCCCTTGTCCTCACGTACCACCCCACCAACCTCCGGACCCAACGCAATCCCCCTCGTCCTCATGTACCACCCCACCAACCTCCGGATCCAACGCATCATCCTCTGACACTTCCGCCATCTGCAATCCGACCCCACCACCAAAGACATCTTTCCCTCCCCAACCTTATCTGCTTTCCGGAGGGACCACTCTCTCTGTGACTCCCTTGTCCGCTCCACACTCCCCTCCAGCCCCACCACACCCGGCACTTTTCCCTGCAACCACAGGAAGTGCTACACCTGCCCCCATACCTCCTCCCTCACCTCCATCCCGGGCCCCAAGAAGACATTCCACATCAAGCAGATGTTCACCTGCACATCTGCCAATGTGGTATACTACATCCGCTGTAGTCATTGTGGCCTCCTCTACATCGGGGAAACCAAGCGGAGGCTCGGGGACCGCTTTGCAGAACACCTACGCTCGGTTTGCAATAAACAACTGCACCTCCCAGTCGCGAACCATTTCAACTCCCCCTCCCATTCCTCAGACGACATGTCCATCCTGGGCCTCCTGCAGTGCCACAACGATGCCACCCGAAGGTTGCAGGAACAGCACCTCATATTCCGCTTGGGAACCCTGCAGCCCAATGGTATCAATGTGGATTTCACAAGCTTCAAAATCTCCCCTCCCCCTACCGCATCCCAAAACCAGTCCAGCTCGTCCCCACCTCCCTAACCTGTTCTTCCTCCCACCTATCCCCTCCTCCCACCTCAAGCCGCACCCCCATCTCCTACCTACTAACCTCATCCCGCCCCCTTGACCTGTCCGTCCTCCCTGGACTGACCTATCCCCTCCCTAACTCCCCACCTACACTCACCTTTACTGGCTCCATCCCTGCCTCTTCGACCTGTTTGTTTCCTCTCCACCTATCTTCTCCTCTATCCATCTTCTATCTGCCTCCCCCTCTCTCCCTATTTATTTCAGAACCCCCTTCCCCTCCCCCATTTCTGATGAAGGGTCTAGGCCCGAAACGTCAGCCTTTCTGCTCCTATGATGCTGCTTAGCCTGCTGTGTTCATCCAGCCCTGCACCTTGTTGTCTCTACTTTTCACTGTATCTTGGTACATGTGACAATAATAAATCAAATAAAATCAAAAGTGTCAGGACAGGTTGAGAGAGTGTTAGTAGAGCATACAGTATCTTAGGTTTCACTAATAAGCTATAGACCACAAAAGCAAGGATGATGTGTTGAACTTAAAAAAGATGCTCTAGTTTTGCTACAAATTGAGTGTTGTGTGAAGTTCTGGACACTGCAATTAAGAAAGGATGTGAAAACATTTAAGAGAGTGAGAAGACTTTTATAAGTGCAGTTCCAGGAATGAGGAATTTAAATTATGAGGATAGATTGGAAAGCTGGGATTTTCCTCTTCGGAGAAGACTGTGGAGGACTGATTGAATTATTCAAAATCATGAGAGGCCGGGACACAGTGTATTGGGAATAAAATGTCCCCACTCATGAAGGGATCAAAAACCAGAGGGCATAGATTTAAAGTTAATTCACGAAAGAAGCAAAAGGTGATGTGAGTTAAAAGTAAAAATTCACACAACCCAAAGGTTCAGGTCTGGAGCCTGAGAGTGTAGCAGAGGCAGGTTTAACTAACACATTCAGAAAGAGTATTATTCAAAATGGAATAATACTTGGTGAAAGTCTCAGTTGGAGAGCCACTAAATGGCCTCCCTCTCTGCTGTAACGATAGTTATTTTGTGTAATGCCAGGACCGAGATTTAACATATAAACCGGTCCTCGACACTGTTGAACCACACCACACGCAGACGCGACCCCAGCCCCGGCCCCTGCATAGTCATCTACACCGCAGTCCGAATCCGCTATAATCACAAACCCCAGACCCTGTATATTCATACACACCGTATTTCGGACTCGCTGCAATCACAAACCCCGGATCCTGGATAATCATATATAAAGACCCCGGACCCTGTATAATCACAAACCCTTGCTCCCACCCCCGCATGACACGGTATAATCACCTACCCCGGACCCTGCATAACCGCATACCCCGGGCCCCGGCCCCTGAATAACAAGCATTCTACGTCTGACGTGATGGCGCAGCGAGCGGTCCTGTAGTTGTTGCTGGAGCCGGAGAGAAAGGGGTCAGTTCGTGGATCCGGGAATCGGGCCCCGCTGCAAGGAAAAGGTAACGGTCCGATCATCGTTTTGGGGGGAAGGGGAGGAGGACGGGCCTGAGTTCCAGTTCGTCAGCGGACGGACAGCCGTTAGTCGCCGTGATCTGACTCTGGGAGCGTGGAGGGGAAACCGAGAGACCCCAGCCTCGTGCCCCCCCCTTCCCCCTCCCCCTTGTAAACAAACCCCCACCACCATCACCACCAACAACAACAACAACAACAACCCCGAGGAACAAGTTACTGCAAATGCTGGAATCTGTACTGAAAACAACAAATACTGGAGATCACAGTAGGTCAGAGAGCAGGCTAATGTTTCTAGCCCCCCCCCCATCACAGTCTAATGAAGACTCACCGAGACTGGAAACGTCAGCTTGTTCTCCCTCCATGGATGGTGCCACATCCTCGCCCACCCCCTGTCAGCACGCCCCTCTTTGCCATCCCTCACCCCGTGTCAATGCCCTC